ACTTTGGTATGCTTTATGAATATGGTCTGGATTTTTTGGTGCCTCAGTGCCACTGCAAACTAATGAGCGTGTTACTTTTTAGGAGTTGTGAGGCTAAATGAACCATTTGTACAAGATTTAGCTTGGAAGAGAACATAAGTGAGAAACTGAGGGACTTCTGTATGGCAGCATTAGAACCTTGTACTTGGTGCCTGCCAGAGTCCACTCCTGTCTATCACAAGAGGTTTTTTTAGGCACTCTCAGGGCAGCACCCACACCCATTTTGCATGGAAATCTGCTCATTTTAATTGATAGACCTCCATTGGTCACAGGGTTACATCAGAGATGATTTTGCTGTGGTATTGAATGTCTGATGTTTAAACTGTTTCATTGATCTTGAAGTTACATGAACCTGAAGATAAGAAGAGAGGACCAGTGAGGCTTTTTCCATCTGCATTTATCTTCCTATGTCTATCATCTCCATCTCTAGCTTCTTCACCCGTGATTCTCTGGCAAAACCCACAAATCTTCTTTCCATGGCTTGCTAGTTTGTTGAACTGGTCTAAGAAAACCACCAGCGTGCAACTTCGATGCAAATGTTTCTTAAATGCTTTGGGACCCTCAGATTTGGATGTCAGTGATGACTGTTCTGATCACCCCATCTGCTTTTCTAACAGTACAGATATGTGACTTTTTTCTTCCCAGTGAAGTATCTTACATTTTAATTCTCTTTATACACCATATCTCATTTCTCTCTTCTCTGCCCCATTGGCTTCCAGTTCTATGATTATCACCCTAACCCCAGTTCGTTTTTCCTAACATCTCCTCTGCTGGTGCATTTCCCTATTAACACCTCACTTCTGCCTGCAAATGCAGCTGCATCGACTCTATCTCTTTTACATCTCATTACAACAGCTCCTTCTCAGCTGGCCTCCCCAGGATGAAGATTCCTAGATCCAATTTTTATACACTATCGCTGTTTGATTTTATCCTGTGTGCCAAAGAGCTCCACTGCAGCACTCAATCTGCAAACACTATTCAGTCTCATTACCATCCCATGGAGTTGCTTCCGACTTTGTGCCCTTCATCTCACTTCCTGCATCTTTTTCATGCCCCTTTTTTTCCTACAGCACTGCCCCTACTCTCCACAAATAGCAGCACTCTTGGTTTGCCATTGGAAGCAGACTTCCTGTGGCTCCCTGTCTCATCAGCTTCTCATTTCAAGTAATTTAAAATGTAATTTAAAATCTCTCTATTTCCTCCAGACTATTAATTTCTCTCTCCTTACTCTTCTATAGATGTCATTCTGTGTTGCGCTATTCAGAAGATGCGACTTGTAAAAATCTGCCACTGTGGTTTTATTCTGTATTCTTGTTTTCTATTATCATTTTTAATGATTCTTTGTAGGAAAGACAAAATCTCAGCACAGCATCTAACCACAGCACAAGCAGTCACACAGGACAGTCTGGCATTTGCATTGCCTTTGTTCCATTCTTCTCCTGTGGCATTTAGAACTGTAGAGGGATTATTGTGAATGGTCTAAGAGTATATAAGTAGGGTAGCAGGAAGAGAATTATTTCTGGAAATTGGGAAGTGTGAGGCAGGAAGCCATGTTTAGTTCTGATTCTGAGATGTGCTGAGCTCTCATAGATCTGACTCCTCTTAGCCAGAGATTGTAGAAATTGCCACCCTGCATGTGTCCTTACACTGGCAATTTCTGTGGGGAGAACATGCCCTTCTCTTGCTGCTGTAATACACTATTTGAGAGTACAGGGTAACTGAGGAGCCAACCCTTGGAAGTAGAAGGTCCAGATTTCCAGAGTGAGATGTTTGTGCCTGATGGATTTAAGTGCAAGAATAGTCAAATTAAGATTTTTGTTCTTCAGAATCTTTCAGACTTCTGGCCCAGACTTTCTATCTTTCTTTGAAGAATGAGAAGGTTTTAATATTGAGATGGAGTTGGAAAGGAGCAACCACTAACACAAAAAGAAAATGCTCAGAGTCCCAAGAATTATTTATTCTTCCCTTATGCCTTCCCTCTTCAAGGCCCCTTCCTTCTTTCAGGCAAAATATAAGGGAAGGAGAGGTCCTTGGGTGATCTTCCCTAGCTTTCCCAGCTAAGAGCCTCATGGAGCCTCCTCAACACAGGCCATCCCTGTAGAGCTACAATCTCCCACCAGTTTAGGGGTGTTCTCCACATCTCTCTGCCTCTCAAATTCCTTTGCACCAAGGACAATAGTTCAGAGAGCCTGTCCACAAACTACCATCCTCCACATTCTTGCAGCAGCCTATACTCGGAGTACTAAAAATGCAGAGTACAATATGCACCTGCCCCCTTGTTCACTCCCAGCTGTTCAGCAAGGTACAGAAGGACCTACCCACCCGCCCCCTCCCAGCTCCAATGGCAGAGGGCAAGCCTAGGATTCCTCCAGATGAGCTAGGTACTTTGTTTGTCCACAAAAAAATTTTCATTGGTCTCAACCTGCACTGTCTCCTACCAACTCTCCCTTTTTCTGCCTTTCCAGCGGTCTTTTCTGACTGCTGGTGTTGATTTGCATATGGCTGATGCTGGACACCATGAGTACTTGCTGGTAAACACCTCTACCTCAGTCTCACCTGTGAGGGCTCTCTGGATTGTGCCCTCCAAATGGGAGAAATGATCAAGGGTCTGTAGGGCAGCCAGTGGCCCCCTGGCTGCTTGCTTCATGTCCATGAGTCCTGGGACAGATTGTCCTGGAAGGGCAGGCCCAGTCTGCACCCAGAAAGGGAGTAGGGAGAAGAGATAACTGGAGTTATGAAATTGCAGCATGGCTGAAGCCCTCCAACTGGTTCAACTTCCCAGCACCCCCTTCCACCAGCGCTGCTCCCCCGCATAGAACAGCAGTGAACCTAAAGCAGATCTTCTGGTCTCATTTTTCACTGAACAATGAATCTGATCAGAGAGAAACAAAATCGGTAGCATCAAGAATTAGATTATTTCTTTTCTTCATGATTGTTGCATTAATGAGCAGCTACATGTATAGAACCAGGAGGTGACTAATGTAATTAACCTGGTGTAATGATACTGCTGAGGAAAAGAGAGAGGATTATGACATACTCAGATGTCAGTATTGCACAATTTTATATGTGTTCCCTGTACTATCAGGTTGTGTCTGACACAAAACTTAAGCAGTGATAGATTTCAGTCTGCATCCATTCAGCTCATGCATCTTTCTGTGTAAAATGAGGATGTGAAAGGTGGATTGCTTTCCCAGGGTTGAGGGGGTGGACGTATTCAATTTTGGTGGTTCCTTTCCTTAACAAAATGATACTAATTATCATAAATCGTCCTTTCTCATGAAGAATCTTCCCAAAATGTCTGCTTCTTGGAGCAGGCATTGGGATTTCACTGAAATCCCTAAAGACAAAGTAAGAACACAGGGATCCACACACCACTGGTCAGGGGGAGGCAGAGGGACGGAAAACGAGCAACACCAAGACATATGCAACTTGCAGCAAACCCGAGAAGAGTGAAGAGCAAGCACTTAAAAATCATAACAACAGCAATAAGAGCAGAAATACATGCTTATTTTTAAATTACCCTTCCACGTTACATTTCACCCGCCTCCTGGGGAGAGAAACGGCTGACTGAAGTTTTGTGCGGGTCTAACTGCGGTGTGCGGGTCGCACTCGCAGCTCCGGGTACCTACGGCGGGGATACGAAGGAGACTGATCTGGAGGGCGGCGGTGGGGGGAGAAAGGCGGTAAGCGAGGGAGAGCCCCAGCGCCGTCTTCCCCTGGGCTCCTCGGCAGCGGCCCCGGAGGAGCGACCCTTGCCGGTGCCGGCAGCGGCGGGCGAGGCGCAGGGCGGGGGCAGGCTGCCCCCCCGCCCCTCGCTGCCTGCCTGCTGCCTGTGCCTGCCCGCGCAGAGCGGAGCGGGGCGGAGGAGGAGGGCGGCTGCCGCCCGCGGATGCTGGGGCGCGGGCGGCGCGGGCAGGGCGGGCGGCGCGGGCAGGGAGCTGTCCTTCAGCACCGCGGGCCGCGGAGCGCTCCGCCCGCACCGCCGCCCGGGGAGCTGTCCTGCAGCACCGGCGGCCTGGGAGCGCTCCGCCCGCCCCGCCGCCCGGGGAGCTGTCCTGCAGCACCGCCGGCCAGCGCCGACACCGACACCGACACCGCCGCCAACGCCGCCGCCGCCGCCGCCGCCGCCGCGGGGGAGCCGTCCAGCGCCGCGCCGCCAACGCCGCCGCCGCCGGCTTGATGCAGTAGCGGGGCCCGGGAGTCGCCGGGGGCCGCCGCGGGGCAGGGGGTGCCGCAGCCGGGCTCTGCTCAGCACCCCCCGCCCGGGAGGGGCGCCGCGCCTGTTCCCCTCCTCCCCCTCCCCAACCCCCCCCCCTCCAGGAGCCCCCCTCTCTCCTCGCCCACCTCCGCCGGGAGCGAGCGCCGCGGCTGTGCGGAAAAGCCATGGGAGGCAAGACCTCGGCACCTGTTCAGCTGAAATCAAGGGCTTACAGTATACTGGGCACTCTGGCTTGGTGGTAGGAGCGAGCAAAAGGAAGGAGAAGCAAGCAAAAGTGAGAGAGGATTGGAGCGACTGCCGCTGCCGGGAAAAAAAAAAAAAAATAAAAACCCAAGGAAGATAACTGGGAAGGAAAAGGATTTTCATGGCGCAGGCTGCAGAGCTAAGCAAGAAGACTGAAGGTTGCATCTCTGCTCTTACAGTCTCTAACTGTCTAGGTCCAGATAATGAGAGATTGTGTTGAGGATGCTGCTGCTGCTCCCCTGTTCACTGTGGAAGCCATCTCCAAATTAGCCATTACATATGGAAACTGGAGACCAGAATTTTAGAAAAAGGGATTAAGGCGTCTCATTTTGGGGGGGGTTCTCTCTTTATTTCTTTGGTTTTTCTTGGTTCTTTTCTCTCTTTTTTTTTTCTTTTTCCTTTTTCCTTTTTTTATATTTCAACCAGAACGTTTCCGATTTAAAAGGCAAGCCTCTTCCCGTGTGGTCTTTCTAATTTACACTCTTTTCCGTGGGCTTTCTTACCTCCCTTTTTTGATATCTATCTCTCTATACCCATTATATTATTAGTCGGAATTATTATTCTTTTATTTTATTAAACACACACACCCCAAGAATCAGAAGGCGGTTGGGTATTTGTATAATGAAGAATTATGGGGCTCTTTGACAGAGGTGTTCAGATGCTTTTAACCACCGTTGGTGCTTTCGCTGCCTTCAGCCTGATGACCATAGCTGTGGGGACCGACTACTGGCTTTACTCCAGAGGGGTTTGCAAGACTAAAACTGTCAGTGAGAACGAAACCAGCAAAAAGAACGAGGAAGTCATGACCCATTCTGGATTATGGAGAACCTGCTGCCTGGAAGGTATTTGATTCTGGACCTCCACACTCCCCCACCCCTTCCTCTCCCACCACCCCACGTTTCTCCCTCCTTCCCCCAATAAATCCCTCCACATTCCACCATTTTCTCACTTCATTCCTTTCGTAGTGGATTGAGAGTGGTGGGCTCTGTTACTCAGAGCACAGAGGCAAGAAGACAGGCAAAACATTCACTGCTCTGTTCCCTTCTCCCTTCTTTGCCATCCTCCCCCCTCCCACCTTCCCCAAAAAATCACTTCCTCCCTCCAACTGGAATAATGTGTGTGTTACAAAACCACCGAGAGATCCTTTCAAAAAGCAACTGTGCAGTCTGCCTGTCTTCAGCTTGTTTGTATTGCCTGGGTAAGCAATGCCAAAATGCTGTGTTATTGCTGTGCTCCGACTGCAACCAGAGAGTGAAATAATTGCTCTCTTTGCAAATGCCTTATTTGCAAAGACAAGACTGTGAGTGAGGGGCAATGTGGGAAGGAGGTTATTGCAAAGCTTAGGATGCAATTTAGTTCACTTTAGAAAGGAAAAAGAGAGAAAGGGAAGCAACGGGTTTATATCCAAAATGTCTCATACAGAACGATACCAGTCATCTCAAACAGAGTTCAGAGCATCTTGTAATGTCTGTAAGCAACCACATCTCACTGGAGTGGGTGCAGAGGGGTCTAGTTGGCCACTGATTGATTTGGTTTGGGGCTGGCATTTTTCCCCAGTTTGTTTCTTATTGGGAGGGGGGGTTTGTTTGGGGTTGATTTGGAGGGTTGATTTTTTTTTTTTAAGGTTTATGGTAAAGACTTAAAATAAACAAGTCTCTGAATGGAGAAATCAGCTGAAGTCTGATGTGGTGAAACTGAACAGCAACTCAGTGACATGTCTGATGACAGAAGAGACACCACTGCAGCTAACTTCTGGAATCAGATGTTGTAAAGGGAGGGGGAAAGAAAAGAGGGGCCAGTGATTCACTTTTAAATATGTGCTTCTGAGTACTGCTATTGGCATACGTGTGGGCTGGGGAGGTGGTCTTCAGCCTGTGCTGGAGGGAGAGGGGCAACCGATGTAAATGCGTGGTTTATGTTACACACGTAGTGAGGAGAGAGTGAGAGAACAGGAGCGCACATTACAGCCCATTGTGAAAGCCCTGTTTATGAATCAGCTCCCAGCTGGACAGTGGGCTGCCAGGGCTTCATGGACATCCAGGGATAAGATCAGTGTCTGCTGGTGTCCACCGGAGCTGGGTGTGCCTGGAGCTCCCTGTTGGGAGAGAACGGCAAGTGGGTACCGCAGAACTGATTTTCTTAACCTGGCACTGGGAGATGGAAGGCAGGGGGAAGGGGGAAATAAACTATGTATGTTTTGATGTCTCTTACCAAAGAAAGCTAAAGCTGCTGTTTGGAAATGGTTGTGTCCAGGAAGAAGCGTGAATTTCCCCCCCGTTCTTGGTGCAAATGGTTGAGTGATGGCTGGACATGTTTTGAATAGCTAAGTGACTTCATTGAGCGATGGTCTATTTGACGCATACTGCATTTAGTGCCCTTTGTCAACCCAAACTGCTGCCTTTTAACATATCCTGCAGAGGAGCTCTATGCTGAATACTATATGCTGTATCCACGCCAGAAAATCAATAGCACTAAATTAATGGGGGATGTTTTAAACACACTTGCTCATACACACGCACAGATTTCCTGCAAATTGATAAATACATAGAGGTATATATTAATAAAAAATGAAAAGCCTTTCACATAGATATTCATTACAACCAGGGAAGGAGACATCTCCTTAATTAAAAATTAATGAGAGAGAGAAGGGGAAAAAAAAAAAAAAGACCAAATGCAAAGCCATGCAGGGAAGAGAGGCTGCGGGAATGAACTCCCTTCCTGAGCCATGTCCCCAAGCTGGAGGGCGGAGGGAGGCTGAGGTGGAGATAGAAGGTATGAGGACCCCAGCCAGGAGAGGCAGTGAATTCAGATCATGTCTATCTGCCCACAGAGCCATACCCAGAGGGACGCGGTCTGAGGGGGAGGAGGAAGGGGCGGGTGAGGTTTGTCAGATTGGAGGAGCTCGGGGCTCCTTCTCCTTTACATCTGACAGGACCCCACAGGCACTGTTGAGAAGTGGCTTGCATGGCAAAAGAATGTGCCAGGATGCTTCCAATTAAAAGCTTTGAAGTGCCCCCAGCCCCCCAGTATTGCGCTGCCAGCCCAGGTCCCCTGCCCTCCCTGCTGATGCTTTCCGGTGGGTTAAAACCATAGCCCTGCATGAACGGTGTGAAATTCAGCCTGAGCACAACTGCATGGCCCTGGCAGGGTGCTCTCGCTCTTCCCACACGTGTGAGGGTTGGGCTGGTCCAATCTCCCAGCCCCCGAATACTGGGCAGCAGCAGCAAGTGGGGTAGGAGGGTGCAATGCACCACAGGGGAGCTGAGCCCAGCTCTGAGTCCCTCGCCTGAGAGCACAGGTTGCACTAAAACTTGGATAAAGACTTGGTTGCAAGAGCAGCTCAGCAGAAGGCAAAGCCATCCCCGTGGGCACACTCTGAGCAAGGTCTGACCATGGGTTTGCCTCGTGAGGTGGTACAGCACAGGTTTGGCACTGCCACTGCTGGCATGCCTCTGCTTGGCTTCCCGCAGCCCCATAGCCTGCATGGGGTGATGGCTGACACTCCCTTGGTCCCAGGACAGCACAGCCAAATATCCCCACCAGCCCTTGGATGTCAGGGCTCTTACTGTCATGTCTGATCAGCTTAGTGGGGGGTTATCTTCTTTCTTGTCAAAAGAAATCAGTACGGTGTCCCTGGCTGATTCCCTCTCCCTGGTGAAAGCTTCCTGCTGGTGAACAGGACAGAGAAGGATGCAGCAAAGGGTCCTTTCCCCCATGATACATAGAGTGGGTAGATTTGTGGAGGAAAGGGCTTGGTCTCAGGAGGCTGTACAAAGGACAAAAATCTTGGATCTGTGCACAACCGGTCCACGGTGTGGCAGAGACACCTGACAAAGGATGTGGGACAGCCACTCTTCTGCCTGGGGTAGATGTAAGGGCAGATCTATAGGGTGAGGGGAGGTAGTGAAGAGGAGGGCAGGAGGCTTTGTAACAAGAAAATAATCAGAGAAGGAGTTCAAACTGCCATCTGCTACTGGTAGGAAGCCTCTGATAATGTTGCCTTAATTTCTGGAAACATGGAGGAACACTGGCATTAGTCAACACTGTAGCTGTCAGAGATAGCGGACACCTCATGTTCCAGTTATCATGCTAAATTGTCTTTTCTCTTCTTGGCCAAGAGATCCAGTTGCAGAAATGGATGTGAGCACTTACCTTGGGCTGTATGCACAGATACGTTGTGGTCAGAATTGCAACCTCCTCTTTGAGAATTTGATCCCCAGGCTTTCAATTGTTGGGTTTCCCTCTCTTTAGTCATTCTATTCCCTAAAATGGTCTTTCAGTCAGCATTTTCAGATCTTTGTATTGCTTCAAAGAAGAGTACAATTCTGGGAAGTTCCTCTTCTATTGGGATTTCTTTCCCCCCTTTCTTGTGAGCCCTACAGCGAGCCCCTGCTCCACGGTGGGAACTCAAGCAGACAGATGGTGTCAGTTCACATTACTCCGGATCATGCTTCTGATTTTTTCCCTAATCTTCCTCCAGATGATTCTCTCTCAGACTTTGGGGTTGCCGAAATATGTCTCTGGGCCATTCAAAAGTCTCTGCCCTTCAAGAAAAACGGTTTTTCTCAGCCCTGTAGCTACAAAACACATACGAACACTGAACAATTGAGATCTGCAAGCTCATGCCCCACATGGATGCTGCACCTCTTACAACTTCGAAATGGCTGCGGATCTTCCAGCCTAATTCCTTCTTGGCACTGAATGTTTTAAAACCACTTTTTATTGGCATGAATGATACTTTATCTGATTCTTTCATTAGCTCCTGTAGATCTCCTACAGGATCTCAAAAAGTGAGGGACGATGCCTTATCAAGGTCTTATGAAGCAAGCAAATGAAATGTATTTTATATCTGTAGGTTATTGGTTTTGTCATGTTGTCATTATTATTAAGAAATGGATAGGTCTGGGAGGCTTTTATACTGAGAAGGCAGGAGAGAAGAGTCCAGAGCAGGCAGGCATGAGTGATGCACATGGGGTTAGACATCCTTGTAGATCTGACTGGTGTGAAGGCAAGTAATTGAATGGATGTTGGTGGAGAAAATAATTCCTGCCTAGAGACCCTTCCCAAGGAGAATTAATGAGCTGATCTGTTCCCTTTCCAGCTTGTTATATCTGAACAGTGCATGAGAGCTAAGTGCAGATTCAGTGTTTGCAAAAATGAAGAGCTGACAGCAAAGTGAGGCAGGGCACAGGCAGTGGACAAGCTTCTGCCAGACGATTCTGGCACTGCGTCTCTTCCTCTCACTGCCTTCTCCCACTGCTGTTTGTTCCTGGTGCACGTCTTTCCTTTCACATCCATTTTATGTGTAGGGTTTTTTCTGTGTTTTCCCTCTTATCTTTCATGATTTTATTTCTTTTAGCTGTTGTTTCTGTCAGTGTCCCTAGTTTTGCTCTGCAGAATTGCCTGCCGTCCTACTTCCAGGGATCCACAAATCTACAAAGGGTCCTTTCCTTTCATCCTTGCTGACCTAATCCAGGGCCTTTTCTGAAAATTCAGTGGGTGTAGCAGTAGATTAAATCAGGGTCTCCATGTCTTCACAGTTCAGGACCAGGAGCATCCTAGCCCAGTCGTGAGATGCAGCAGGAGGAAATGACCGGGCACAGAGCTGATTGTTGCTGGCACTGCATCTTCCAGGGAAAAAAGAATTTAGAGCTGGACAGGCCTTGGGTGAAGAAGAAGACAAAGGATTTTAAAAAGTGGAGTGGCAGATGGTGAGGAAGAACTATTCATGATCCCAGACTTGGGTGGGTTTGGTTCTCCTCTCAGCCTAAATTCACACCTGACTGAAGTCACAGAGAAGGAAGGAATTTGAGGTGCTGAGACCTGCAAGCTCAGCTCCTTT